GTCACTCGCTCGAGATACTCACTCTCTCTCTCTCTCTCTCTCTCTCTCTCTCTCTCTCTCTCTCTCTCTCTCTCTCTCTCTCTCTCTCTCTCTCTCTCTCTCTCTCTCTCTCTCTCTCTCTCTCTCTCTCTCTCTCTCTCTCTCTCTCTCTCTCTCTCTCTCTCTCTCTCTCTCTCTCTCTCTCTCTCTCTCTCTCTCTCTCTCTCTCTCTCTCTCTCTCTCTCTCTCTCATTATTATTTATTGCTTTTTCGATTTGCTGCTAAAACATTGTTACTGATTTTTCGGCTGTAAAAGCTTCCAATTCTAAAATATTTGGGATAATATTTCCAAAATTTTCTCGAAATTTAGGAATTGGGGTTTAGAAATTTGTGAAATCAGTAACAATCGGATTTACCATATCACTTTTGGCTTCTCAAATTTGAGAAGTTTTGTAAAATTTGCAGACCTTCTTCAATCCTACGAACCAACAAAATGGCTGATAAAGAACCCAATGGAGCTGAATTCACTTTAAAAGTTATGGTAAATAAACAGAAAACCAAAGTACTCTTTGCAGAAATCGAAAGCGATTTCGCAGACGTATTGCTAAGCTTCCTAACTTTGCCGTTGGGAAAGATTGTGAGGGTTCTGAAGAAGCACTACGCAGACGATCAACTGACACGTGTCAATATCGGAAGCTTAACAACTTTGTACGACGGCTTATCGAACCTCAACAACGTCTGTTTCTGGACGGATGGTTGTAAGGAGATGCTTCTCGATCCGAGAAGTTCGTTGGAAGCCGAATGTCGTAAACTGAAGCTCGATATCCACGAAACTCAGTCCACCAAGTACTTTCTGTGTGAAAACTCGAAATGCAGTTACTCGACAGCCGCAAGTGTGTACCGCGATACTGTTAAATGCAGTTGCGGGAAAACTATGAAACGAGAAGTTGATTTGAAGGAGTTTCAGAGTGATAGCAAAAATGGAGTTTTTACCATTAACGCAGCTTCTTTCTTGATCTCCGATAATCTTCGAATGATGCCTAATGTGGCAGTTTCCATAATGCAAACCCTTACGAATCTCGGCATTACAGACAGTGTTGGCGCCGAGCTAATGAATGTGACTTTTCGATTCGATGAGGTAATTAATTAGTTTCTTTATTCCGTTTTTAAGGATGTTTTTTGTTTGTGTACTTTGATCGTTATGAAATTATCGACTTGTTTGTGTTTATTAGGTTATGGATTTGCTCAAGGGGTCGTTGCTATCACAGACTCCACTAACGGATATCGTATTCAAGAAAGGAAAGATCGAATCTGCCACAAAAAAATACGAAACGGAAACTGTATTGGATCCGATCGAGAAAGAGGCGGATTCGAACTCCAAGAAGATGATCTTGAAACTTATGGTGCAAGAATCGACAAACAAGTTATTGTTTGCTCAAGCCGAGGAAGATTTCGTAGATTTCCTTTTCAGTTTGCTCACAATCCCACTCGGTGGAGTACTCGACTGTGTTTTGGGCAGTGTTAATACGATTACTACCGGTCTCAAGAGTATAGAGAATTTGTACAAGAGCGTAGCAACTCTTATCGACGACAAGTATCTCGTGAATCCCGATGCGAAAACGAAGCTAATGAAACCGAAACTAATTCACGGTTGCATGCCCAAAAACCAGATTCTTCCACTGAACGAAGAAAGTTCTCAACGACTGTGTTACAATCGAGATGTCGACCTCGGCAAAGAATGGCTGTCGTATTCCTATTACGGAAGGGCGCTGTGTCTGAAAGGGCAGAGGGATTACGTTAAGGGGCCCACAATGTATATGGTGAGTGACGACTTAACGGTGGCGCCTTTGTGTATGATAGCAAGCCTCTCTATAATGAAGGAAATGAAAATCCCGTTATCTGATGTCAAAGAAGTCGAGGTGCAAATTGGATTACATGAGGTAATATTTTGATTCAACTTTTACTTGCTGTGTGCGTATTTCGATTATATTTTTACTTAACGGGAGTTCGTCTTTTTTTTTTTTCCGTGCAGGCTTTAAGCATATTGAAGGCATCTCTTACATCGACTTGTGCACTAACTGATGGCCTGATGATCAAGCCCGTGTCGATTAAAAAACCTAAGCGAGAACACTGAGGACTTAACCCTACTGAATCATATGCATATTGTAGTAATTTTGAGATTTCTTGTCTAAAGCAAGAACACTAAGGTCGATTTTCTTTTTAAGTTCCGTATCTGGTTTTCTTTTCCCTTTTTTTTCGAGTTACGTTCTTGGTTTTCGAGTAATTTGATCGGTCATTTGATTATTGGGTTTATAATTCGAAGAAGAATCGGTGATTAGGACTGAGATACTGTTGATTTATGTTCGCTTGCATATGTTATTGAGCCAAAGCTTTTGATTGAGTGAATTCAATTGAATCAAATTAATGAGCTAAATTATCGTAAATTTGTGATGAGAATATTTTGATGATCTATTTTATTGTTTGTCCATTGGACTTGAATAAAACACATATATAGTAAAACCTCGATAAATTAATAACATTGCTTAAATAATTTTTTTTTTTTTATCCCGACTTGGTGAAAATATGTACCAACTTATTAATTTTATAATTTAATACATTGTTAAATTAATAGACTTTTGTTTGTCGCAACTGTATTAGGATTAATTTATAAAGATTTAACCGAGTGTATTAATTTATAGAGATTTAAGTATTTAATTTTATGTCAAAATATGATAATAACTAATAAGTGTTACTATTATTTCCAAATAGTGGCAACAACATAGTTTCTTGTACACAAACATTTTTACCATTTGATAATATTAAGAATTACAGAGTTTGAAAGTCCCATTAAAAAAAAAACATATATGTTCAAGAAAATTGCAGAAAATAATCGAAGAGTAGAATTCAGACACGAACACGAGAATATTCTACGCAGCTTCGGCAAATCCGACCTTCAAATTCCCATAGTCGAACACGGTGTGGTATGGCCCCATGAACACATCCCCCAAGATCCTGCATCATTCAAAATAATAAATTAATTCAAATATTCGATTATTTTTTGTTGCATAAATTATGACGGAAACATCGAATAACTACTATTTAATTCCGTTTTGAAGATGAATTTACCAAAGAGGGCCACGTGGCGGTGCCACATCTAAGGCTGTGAATCCACTTATGCACTGAGCTGCTTCACCCTCCCCGATTTTAAGTACATACTAACCACAACACAAAGAAAATTGTAGTCGGGATTTAAATTTAAATATAAAAAAAAGCACGTAAAATAGTAAAATAGAAAAAAAGAATGGACATATTCAAACCTGCTGTGGGGTGAGTTCGAATGATTTACCACCTATGGTAAAGGAAATGTTCGGCATAGAAGAAAGGACACCACAGTCAACCGCTGATTCTCCCATTGGACTCGGTAGGCGTTCACATAGCTGCATTTTAACGCTTTCATTTTTTTTATTTAAAAATAAATAAATAAATCTTTTTCGGAGATATAATATAAATTACCTGGTTTATATAGTCCAAAATCTTTTCTTCGGTTTCATTTCGTTTGACTTGGTTCTGCATCCATACAACTGCCATTTCGCAAGCAGTGCACATTTCGTCACTGCCCTTTTCCACCACACTCTCGATAATCATACTGTCAAAATAAATAAATAAATAAATATCGTGCAAAGTTTCATCTTTGTGGTAATTATCTATATTTTTTAGACAATAACTGAGAAAATGAAATGAAGCTGACCTGACATCTCGAGTACCGTCAGAAGCGCATAAACCTATTTGGGAGCAGATTTTCTGAGGTTGTGTCTGTAAATAGAATGCAAATTGATAGACAAATTAGAAATAAAATAAAATGGGAAATCTATACTGAAAGAGAACATTTTAAAAAAATGGGGAATCTCGTATTACCTCAGACGTCAACATTTCCAATATGGTTTTTCCGTAAACAGAAACGACAGACTTGCATTCCTGGCTTACAACCCCAGTAGCTCCAATCGCGTGATTAATGAGAGTCACAATTGTCTAAAAAAAGGGTATTTCAGTCAAATTATGCACATAAAGATGCAACAAAGATTATTTAGTTCAATTGACACAAAAAAAAATAATGATAAAATAAACTATGTTACATTTGGATCAACCAAGGCCAACTAAAATTAGCATATAATTAACTGATCCAAAATTTCATAATTACGACAATTCCAAATCATCGTAAGAATATAAATAAAAATAAAATGAATAAATACAGGTAGAAAATGCGACTATATACCGTAGAAGTCGTTGTAGTGCAAGGTTTATTAAATAAACAATTAACATTTTCATATATTTGGAATTCATAATTACCTATGGTGTATCCATTCACAAGTTAAATCCAAAATTATGAGTTAATTAGATCAGTAAAATTACTTACAGTTGGTCCAGCCAACAAGGAGGTTCCGGAATCGGCAATTGCAGAGCAACCATCAGAACAAAATCCTGGATAAAATATACATTAGCTATAGCATAAATTCAATTAAAAAAAGGTTAAATTTAACAATCACCAAAAAAATAAATAATATATCAAAAATAAAAATCAAGTACAAGTTTGATGACTCACCGGTTGTCTCCCCGCCAATTAGAACTTCACCCATGTCAAACTAAATAAATTTGGAAAAAAATTTAAATTCATGGAAATAAGTGCAATGATGCTAAACAACGAGGTTTTTTTTTTTTATTATTATTATTATTAAAGAGAACGAAGAGTTTTGAGGATAACCTGCCAATAACCCTTCTGAGTAACAGGCACGTATGTGTGTTCACCCTTAAAATGACTGGAATCAACCCCACCAAAAACAAGCTCACCACCATCTTCCTCGTCACCTTTACGGTTTAACCAAAATGAAAAAACTGGGTCTTTTACGAGACTTTGATTTACCATGTTATACCTGTTCGAAAAACGAAATTGGATTAATAATAGAACTATTGACATAGAAACTTAAATTGCATGTATAAAATCTCACTAATATAGTCTTGCTTGAATAGTGCACGGGTTCGGTTTTTATCTGTGTTTCTATTATGTGTGTTTGGTCCCATAAGTAACTCTGAACCAGACATCAAATAATTGTTCAATAAATGAGGAAGCCTTAATTCTATAAATACTCGTATGTTCTTCTATTGATATAGTCGCCACTATATTCAGTAATTCTTGTTTCAGTTATATCCAGCAAATTCAAACCTGCTCGAAGTAACGATAATACATATATACATTAATAACCAGTATGTTATAAATGAAATTTACCAGACGGGAATAGCATTCCCAACAGAAATTTCTTGAAATCCGAGTCCAAGAATGCCGTCAAATTTGGATGCCAAGAAGGTAATCCCAGGCTCTTTTGTCGCTTCAATAAATTCCTAAATCGACAAAATTTTAGTAGTTATAAAAGGGGAAAAACCTAGAAATGATTTTTGCTTTTTCATTAATTCCAAACAAATACCTGATTCTTTACGAGAAGACTACCAAGTTGGACACTGTCTTCACTGAAAAACCCGGAGATTGATCCAGTTCCATAATGAATAGCAGCCGATTTACCTTCACAAAAAATAAAAAATATCTTTGAGATAGTCAACTATAGTTAAAGAAATTAACGAACGATAAGTTTTGTTTAAGCAGTCATTTCTAAGTCAAACCAAAAATATCTTTGAGATAGTCAACTAAAGTTAAAGAAAGAGCCACCAGTACACGGGATAAGTTTATACACGTCGCATTAGAAGATGTCAATAATAATAAAAACTATTCAATTAATCGGAACTAATCTAAATCAGAACATTTACGTTTTTTCAACTAATTGCCATCAAGAAGAATTCAAACACCTGTCTCAAAAGAACTTCCCTAACACCAAAACCAAATCGATCTTAAAAAATACAATAACCACAGTTCGTTGATCGATTAATATGTTTAAAGTAGCCTCAACCTAAAACGGGAAAAAATGAAAGAATTACGAATACCATTCTTTTTGTAGCTAGTTGAACGGCTCGACTTATACTTGGAATGGAAAAAGCAAGCAACCTGCATTCATTAGCAAATAAATAAGCACATCAACTATAAAATAAACACACACACACGCACACGCACACGCACACGCACACACCCACACCCGCACCCGCACGCGCACGCGCACGCGCACACGCACACGCACACGCACAGGCACACACAAACACACGCGCACGCGCACGCGCACACGCGAACGCGAACGCGC